ATAAATCGCAGGGCCCTGATGGCATCTTACCTATAGATTTAAAAGAGATGAGGGGATATTATTAGCCAACAATTAACTCTAATATTCCAGAAATCGTTATCTGCGGGTGTGGTACCTTCAGATTGGAAGCATGCTAATATAACACCCATATTCAAAAAAGGGGATAGAAGTAATCCAGCAAACTATAGGCCAATCAGTTAACTTGCATAACTGGAAAGGTAATGGAAGCTATAATCCAAGTGAAAATGGTTGATTACCTGTATGCAAATAACATTCTGAGGGATAGCCAACATGGATTTAGGAGAGGTAGGTCCTGTTTAACGAATCTACTTGAGTTCTTTGAGGAAGCTACAAGTGAAATTGATCACAAAAAGGCCTACGATGTGATGTACTTAGATTTCCAGAAGGCCTTTGATGTTGGCCCCCACAAACGGCTCTTGCTAAAGCTCAAAGCTGCAGGGCTTTTAGGAACTGTGGCAGCTTGGATCGAAAACTGGTTAACCGACAGGAAGCAGCGAGTAGTTATTAGAGGCACAATGTCACAGTGGGCCTGTGTTCATAGTGGGGTACCGCAGGGTTCAATTTTAGGACCACTATTGTTCCTAATTTACATAAATTATATAGACACCAATATATACAGTAAACTGGTGAAATTTGCAGATGACACCAAGGTGGGTGGTATAGTAGATACTGAACTAGCGGCTCAGCAGCTACAGCGGGATCTTGATTTAATTAGTGACTGGGCCGATACCTGGCAGATGAAATTTAACATAGACAAATGTAAGGTACTCCATGTAGGGAGCAGAAATATAAAGTACAGGTATTTTATGGGACCTACTGAAATAAAGGTAGCTGATTATGAGAAAGACCTTGGTGTGTATGTTGATGCTTCCATGTCCCACTCTCGCCAGTGTGGGGAAGCAATAAAAAAGGCCAATAGAATGTTGGGTTATATCTCTAGGTGTGTGGAGTTTAAGTCAAGAGAGGTGATGTTACATTTATATAATTCCTTGGTAAGACCCCATCTAGAATATTGTGTGCAGGTTTGGTCACCATACCTTAAGAAGGACACTGCCTTAGAAAGGGTTCAACGTAGGGCTACAAGAATGATTCCTGGTCTTAGAGGAATGTCTTATGAGGAGAGGTCAGATGAGCAGAATCTGTTTTGCCTTGATCAAAGGAGACTAAGGAGGGACATGATCCAGGTCCAGATCTGTTCAGCCAAATGGCTATTTCAATATTAGTTTAAATACTAGAACTCGTCGCCATAAGTGGAAATTAGCGGGAGAACATTTTAAAACAAATTTGAGAAAGCACTTCTTTACACAGCGTGTAGTTAGAGTATGGAATAGTCTTCCTGCTAGTGTAGCGGAAGCTAAAACCCTGGGTTCCTTTAAATCAGAGATAGATAAGATTTTAACAACTCTGAGCTATTAGTTAAGTTCTCCCCAAATAAGTTTGATGGGCCAAATGGTAGCTGTTTTTATTATTATTGATGAAATATCCACATCTGTAAATTTTACAGTTTCTTGACCTATACATTTACTGTAACTGTACTAGACCCTGTGCTCCTCACTGGATGTGTTTGATTATACATTGTCTTGACACAGCCTTTCCCACTCCGGATGGTCCATTAGGCTTCCTTATGCCTGCGCTCACACTGTCCATCACACTGTCCATCACACTGTGCTCACACTGTCCACTTATGCCTGCGCTCACACTGTCCACTTATGCCTGCGCTCACACTGTCCACTTATGCCTGCGCTCACACTGTCCACTTATGCCTGCGCTCACACTGTCCACCACACTGCGCTCACACTGTCCATCACATTGTCCATCACACTGTGCTCACACTGTCCACTTATGCCTGCGCTCACACTGTCCACTTATGCCTGCACTCACACTGTCCATCACACTGTGCTCACATTGTCCACTTATGCCTGCGCTCACACTGTCCACTTATGCCTGCACTCACACTGTCCATCACACTGTGCTCACACTGTCCATCACATTGTCCATCACACTGTGCTCACACTGTCCACTTATGCCTGCGCTCACACTGTCCATCACACTGTCCATCACACTGTCCATCACACTGTGAAATGATATAGATTTCCCCTCAGATTTTTGCATGAGTATGAGTCTGAAAGTGTGAGTATAACACTAGATGCCTGAGAATTGGTAAAACTGCACAATATAACTTCTTGTGCCCTCACAAAAACAGCCTATATTGTGCGCATAAGATAACTATACTGTGCGCTCATATTATGTTGTTGACTCACTCAAAGTTTTATATATGTATATATATATATATATATATATATAGAGAGAGAGAGAGAGAGAGAGAGAGAGACTGAACAAGCTCTGTAGTCAATCGTCACGACCAAGTCTAAGCCCTTTTGTCAGTGATTACGGTGGTCTCACCACGGAGCGCTGCTCGTTCAGCTCAGGTTGAATGATCTTCCCTCGGCAGCTGGGATGAGCTGCGGAGACATGTAGCCTAAGTCAGCTGGAGCAGCTTTAACACTCGCGGCTTTGCCCAATTGGTTTAATGTTTGGTCTGATGTTGAACATTGCACATATGTGATCTGATTGACCAGATAAATATGGAAGACCGTATGAAAAGTTTAGTGAACGTACCTGCACAGCAGGAGACGAGAACTAGCAACGTGACCCCGGCAGAAAGCATCCTCTCCCGTCTGTCCTCAGGTACGCACGATATGCGATGGGGACGGACCGACTCTGCTCTTATATCCCACACCTGCCCAATCACACACGCTCCAGGAAGCGGATGCTATGTCAATACTAAGTCTAACAGTATAAGATTAATAATAACAATGTTAACAATTCATATACGTAAAAGAAGACCATTCCCCAGTCATCCGCAGTGCGTAACGTTCATAAGGATCATAATGGGCTCCGTGTTGAATCAGGTAGGATCGAGAAGAGAATCCAGGTTGTTTTACTAGGAAATATCTCTCTTAATTCTGGATTTTCGGGAAAGCCAAGTCGCGTGATGTGCTAATCCTCATTGTGACCGCTTTTAATGACTCGGGATAAATGTCCTGGTCCCGATCCCCAAGGTGCACCTAGTAAGAACTCAAACACCGTAAAAGCCGCACTCCTTCATTCATGCTCATTGTCTTCCAACTTAAGGGGGCAACAGCTGGCGTAACGGTTACGAGTGTCAATGCAGGTTTGTGGAGCTTTACGGCAGGACACCCGAGCAGAGCAGGTCTCCGAAGGTGCTCTGTCTGCTTGCTGAACCAATTATTTCCTGAATTAATGCAGCCCTCGACCATAGCCCTGAAGTTTTATTATGCGCCGAAACGTAAACATAAATAAAAAAACAAAAAAAATGTAAAAATATAAAACAACTATTCCGCTGTTGAACTATCAGTTATATATCAGCTGAATTTGTAATTACCAAAAATAAAATCTGCTAAGCATATCCATCCATCCGACTTCCAAGTGCCTGTGCTGCTCAGGGTCGTGGGACTAGTAAATTGCCTTTGAGATGTTTCATAACTCCGAGGTCTGCAGACATCGGTCTGTAGTGTAACTAAAAGGTATTTTTTAATCAACGTGTTAAACCAAATACAACGCCACTGCAGAGCCGGCCCGCCAATCGCGCTACTATAAGGACAACATGTTGTTATAGCTGAGTGTGTGTGTATGTGTATGGCTATAACCACAGCTTGCCTAAAGAGGGCGCTATGTCTTACTCATGCATGCATACAAACCAAACAATCTGTAGTAGAGCTGTGTAATTAATTGAATTTGAATCACGATTATGGCTTCCCACATTATGAAAAAAATACAATTGAGAAAAACTATATTTGTTTGTATCTCGTGTTGAAATTATGCCGTACTTTATCTTGTGCAATAAACTCAGATCGGTGCACTAATTTTTCAGCGGTGCGCTTTGCCCCTCCCTAAACGCTGTTAGCGACATCCCTACAGCACAGCAGTCAATTTAATGGAGTGCAATAAATACTGATGTTCCACTTCCATAAAAAGTTTTATTAATCACTGGACATATTTCGTTAGGAATTCCTCAGTACGGAAAGTATATGTGCATTTTGTGATGGAATAGTGTGTTCATATTTGTATTAATTAAAACCATGTTACAATTTTTTTATAGAATGCTGTGAGTTTTATCGATCATAATCCATACTGTTTTTATATTTATATTCGACTAATGTGTTTGTATTTACAGTACTTTTCTACCATGCAAATGGCCTGTTCATAGATTTGACTGAAATTTCTGTGCTTAAACAGTTCAGTATGCTATTTATTATTTATCTTCTTCTTGAAAAGTCAGTAACACATTTATCAGGATAATAAGACTTGAACTGCGGCATCATTTAGGCTATCCAAATTCCCCCAAAACTAATAAAATTTGCCTCATCTTGGGCATAACTCCTGGGCTGAAAATTAATCCCACTTTGTGCCTGGCAGAGTGTCTCTCAGTTGCATCACCTGTGATAACAGTGGAATTAGGAATGTACCGGAAAACCCTTTCCTGTCCTGACATTGTGATGCGATAGCATCGCTGCTTCCAGCCAAACTTCATTGACAGGAAATACCCGGAAGCCTTTCCTGCTGCCGTATGACTCTGGACATTAAGGGCAAATCTGAACCAGTCAAAGAGACCATCGCGATTCACTCATCGTTCTCCGTTGTAACTTCGTTATAGCTAACTGCTGATTTCTTGCACTTTCTTTTAAAATCCCGATTTTTATTTGCCGTGATAAAAATGGGTGCACTGCAAGACTGTAGCACACAGTATACATTAACCCAATATAAACCCAGAACATTTATTTGTATGCTCTATTTAATCCATTGGCCAGATATAAACACCATTGACATACAAAACATCATAGGAAGCCAAATACTGAATTTACCTAAAATTATGATTAAGAAACTGCAGAAAGATCACCAAAATTAAATAAGAACACACTGAGCATGTCCCCAGACAAAACTGGATCAGGGAGAAATGAAAGTAATGAGGTTTATTAGCTTATAATTAGGCAAAACACAGAACTGGTTCATATATAGCCAGACGGCCCAGATGGCCACAGTCTCCTGTCTGGATATCCAGTGCATTAGCAATAGCACAATGATCATATAACAGAAATGTAAGTGAACATATAACTCTAATATTAAAACAAAAAACACTAAAATCAGAGATTATTTTCACTCCTAATTTCACTTGTGTGACGCACACAAGCTGTTATACTGGCTCCCTCTTGTGGACAGAATAGTGTTTGACGCTCCTATTCACACATATAGTTCTGGAAAAAATGCAGAGACCACACTATAGGCTATATATTTTTTAAAATATGCATTTTTAAATGCTGGATTAATCCTGGTGCTGCTGGCAGAAGGCTACACTGTGAGGCAGGCTGCTTCCAGGCTCAAAGTTTCTAAGTCAGCAGTACACAAGAACAAGGTGAAGCAGGAGACACAGACAATGACCAAAAACCAGCCAAGTAGAAGACAGAAGGAACTTTCTAATGCCGGAGATGACCATCAACTTATCCGGCAGTGCCTCATAAATCGGACGATGACCTCAAGTGACCTTCAAAAGGAACCAAGGAAGAAGCCCTTCAACAATGAAAAGCAGGGAAGAGCCAGGCTGGAGTTTGCAAAAAAAATATATTTTACACAGGCGCTTTAGTTGAGAAATAAGTGAAACTGAAAATTTTGCTCTGGTCTCTTAATTTTTTCCAGAACCATACATGTCCGCTCAGTGATATTCAGGCCTCACAGCACCACCCCTCATCTACGGCAGCCTGTAAGCCTTCCTGCTGAACATCCACTTCATAGACAACAGTGGATGATGGCAGAGACTCTGTGGAAAGTACCAGCCGCCAGCTGCTTTCCGGCCACTTTGACTCCAGGCCTCCACGTGTGAAGCACACGAGAGAAAGCAAGCTGGCCTCCCCGTGCGAAGCACACGAGAGAAAGCAAGCTGGCCTCCCCGTGCGAAGCACACGAGAGAAAGCAAGCTGGCCTCCCCGTGCGAAGCAAACGAGAGAAAGCAAGCTGGCCCCACCGTGCAAGGCACACGAGAGAAAGCAAGCTGGCCCCTCTGTGCAAAGCACACGAGAGAAAGCAAGCTGGCCTCACCGTGCGAAGCACACGAGAGAAAGCAAGCTGGCCCCACCGTGCAAAGCACACGAGAGAAAGCAAGCTGGCCTCACCGTGCGAAGCACACGAAAAGAGAGAAAGCAAGCTGCCCCCCCTGTGCAAAACACACGAGAGAAAGCAAGCTGCCCCCCCGTGCGAAGCACACGAGAGAAAGCAAGCTGCCCCCCCGTGCGAAGCACACAAGAGAAAGCAAGCTGGCCTCCCCGTGCGAAGCACACGAGAGAAGGCAAGCTGTCTGAGGGCCGGTCTCACGGTATCACTGCAGTGCAGAGCGGAGCAGTAAGTCCTGTCCAGAGGGAATCTGGCACTTCGCACACACGGGCCCATCAGGGTGTGGCATTCATCAGCGGCAGTTTCTGAATGCCTGCCGCAGCCCCCACAGTTGGCTGCAGATAGCAACAGTACCTCCTACAGACCAAATAGGAACCGCAGGATGTTGGTTCTCTTCCAGTCGGTGCCACATTACCTGTACTAAGAAAGCCATGGGTTTGGCAGACTGTATATAAAACACACACCCCTGCCTCCAATTAGGTGGGGGTGTGCACAGTCAAATTTAACAAACAATTAAAGAAAATCAGACATCGAAGACTGAAGACATGATTCTGCTGGTCCAAACTGCGGAGCAGTGGCGCAGTGTTGCCAGAGCGACGGCAGAGAGGATACACTTCAGTCACATTCAGTCAGTCAGACAGAAAGCTGTCCTGCTCCAGGACAGAGGGCAGGAGGGAGAAGGAGAACGGGACGAACTTTATGCCAGCACCGCTGTAGAACTTGTTCTGGAACTCCACCCTGAGAAATGAGACATTGCAAGGAGTGAGACTGAAACAGGGGCACAGGAGTGGGATAGGAGTGAGCGAGGGCTGCCTGAGTGTGTCTGTACTGACCAGTGCAGCCGGAGAGCGTGCAGGAAGGCGGACAGACCCTCCATCAGCAGCAGGATGGTCACTGTGAGCGTGGCGAACACACCCAGAACAGGCACCAGGAGGAAGGTGGCGGTGCCAGAGTCCAGCCGCAGGGCAGGACGCATCACCATGGACCAGAGCACCTCCGACAGCTCTGCCAGACAGCCGCAGAGTGACAGGCAGCCAGAGTCAGAGCTTTACACAGAGTCACACATAACCACAGTCATAGCTTACCAATAGAACCGGCGAGCTCCTTTTAAACACCAGCTGCAATATTCTTCAGCGTATCATACCTTTGGTTTTTGTTAATAGGCAATAGCATTAGTATACCGCTAACCCATCAAAACAACGAGACAGTCAGTAATTCTCACAGCAGCGGAGTCGGTGACCTCCAAAAAAGCCGTAAAACCTACAATACAGTCATGTTTATGTCATATGTTTTTGTGCTTATTAAATTTAAGTG